ATTTTTTTTGCTAAACTTCGATCATCTTAGTTGCACAAATGTACTTGAAATTAGCATGTTTGTCTATCTATAGGACTTCGTTTACATCACAGTAAAAAACTTGCCTTCACAATGATGCTCTATGCACTACCTGTCATTGTTAACCTTACCATTAAATATCAAAGGAAACAATTAGTAAGTCCCATTTTTTTTCATTCCTCAGCAATGGTCAACGTCTTCGTCATCGTTGCAGCGCTCTTTTTTGTGCTTTGTGGCTGTGTGGACAATAACAACGTACCCTGCAAAGATCTAAAGCCGTACAGAGATGCAGTAATGTTTAATTATATACATAACATTCATTACTCAGGTGTATAACTACTTATTTTGCTAAGGCTGACAAAATAAAGCCAGGTGTCGTTGGATGCATCTCATTCAAATACACACCTGATGGATTTTGCGATGAGTACGAGAAACGTGTGATTGGCCTAGCGGATATGACAAAATTTGTAAGTCGTACCCATAGCCCAGCGCACGGTAAAAGCTGTTTTCCCATCTTTTCTTGAAATTCTGCTTCAGAATCCATTCGGTTGTATGAATGAATTATTTAAGTTTACATTCCCGAGCTTCAGAACTCAGCTTTTCCGGAGTGCGGCTAGAAACAACTTTTATGTCGATATTGTTGTTTGGACCAATTAAAAATCTGCCACCAGCTAAGCGCGGAGCGCGTTCAACTACACAGTCAATCAAACGGGGGTGCAACTTCCCTGCGTTAGTGTTGTTATTTCAATATCACTTCTGGTCAGGCAAGAAAAGCCACCATTACTGATATCGAAAGTTCTTCGTCCCCTTGCTTCCAAAATTTTATTTTGCATCCGACTCTTGTAAATCTGCTTCTAAATCGGCATGTATTTGGGTCACCTGATGTAGTATATAAAATCCCCAAACAAAATTTGCTTCCCAATGGATAGCGCTTAAAGCATACCTTTTGTGTAAACGGGTACCACTTTAGTTAGTAGTTACGGTAGTTCGTTGCTGGACTTTGCTGTAGTTTTGAGGCCCCTATTTACTCCATCCTTGCTTGAAAGTTGGGAGCGTTATGCTCGCTAATTTTCTGTCTCCCTCTAAAAAGCTTGGGAATGCATATAGTGCTTGCTTGTTGGAAAAAAATATTTCATAGGACAATTTTGGTCGACCTA